AAGAGTTCTAATTGAGGTTGATATCACTCAAAAACTGGTAGAGGAAATCAGTATCAAGGATAAGGAGGGCAACTCTGTAATCCAAAGAATAGAATATGAATGGAGGCCCAAATTCTGTGATAAATGCCAAGCAGTGGGACATAACTGTGAAATTAGAGTTAGGAAAAATGAATGGAGACCAAAGAATCAACCAACAACTGCAGTTCAAAGTAATGCAACAGTAGTCACAACGGTCCTGAAAGCTCCTGAGATTGTGAAGATAACTGAATCTGTGATTACTCCAAAAAGGAATAGTACTGATAGCAGAAATCAGTACTCTAATTCTGGATCAACTGAGGACGGGAAGTGGACTGAACTGAATAAACAGGGCAGAAGCAGAAATCAACTTAAAGGCCATGTTGAAGATGCAACAGTAATCCACTGTGAGAATGGTTATGGGGTACTAGGGGGTTTGAATGAGCCGCTAGTAGCTTTTGACAGAGGGCCATGTTAGTCTCTTGGAATGTAAGGGGGCTCAACAAGGTTGGGAAGATAAAAAAGATTAGCTCCCTTCTCTTACATCTCCAACCAACCATTAGCATTTTGATTGAAACTAGAGTAAAAGAGAACAAAGCCCAAAAAATCATAGAAAAGCTCAATCTGAAAAGATCTTTCATTGACAACTACCTCGCCCATCCAAATGGTCGAATCTGGATACTCTGGGATGATACAAAGGTGGACCTGAAACTAAACAACATGTCAAGTCAACATCTACACTGTGGCATCTACACTGTCACAGGTGAGTTCCTCTTTTGGCTAACTGCTATTTATGCTCACAACCAATTGGACATGAGGAGAACTCTTTGGAGGAAGATGGAAAATATCCATAATAACCAAGTTGGCCGTTGGTGTGCAATAGGAGACTTCAACAATGTGGTTACTGCTTGGGACAGAATTGGAGGTAAAATGGTGAGTGATTATGAATATGTTGATCTTGCCAGTATGATGAGTAAGACAGAGTTGTATGAAATGGACAGTGTAGGGGACCACTTCACATGGTCTAATAAGCATTCCAATGGTATAATATACTCCAAGATTGACAGGGCAATCTGCAATGCTGACTGATTCATGCGTTATCCTAAGCATATGCTGAGTATCTTGCCTCCAAATGTTTCTGATCACTCTTTGCTCCATATCAGTGGTCCCACTGATACAAAGAGAAAGAACCACTTTAAATTTAACAACTATCTCATAAACATCAATGGTTTCAAAGAGATGGTAAAGGCTTCCTGGGATAAACCAGCTCGTGGGGACACTATGCAAGTCCTGTGGTACAAGCTCCAGAGGCTAAAGGAAGATGTCAATAATTTCAGTAAACAGGTTGGTAACATTAAGCAGAGGTTACTAATAGCCAGGGAGAAGTTACACAAAGGCTAAAATGATCTAAAAAATAATAGGCAAGATAGTAGTTTGATTGAGCAGATCAAAACCTTCACTGATGATATCATAAAACTCCAGGAGCATGAAGAGAGTAGGTTAATCCAAAGGGCGAAAATTGACTGGATAAAAAAAGGTGATGGCAATAACAAGTTCTACTTTGCTCATACGAAAGCTAGACACCAAAGGAACTACATCAAGTTCCTGCAGCAAGAGGATGGTGAAATTATAACAGGGCACAATAATATTGAAAAGGAGATCATGAACTTCTACCTCCATCTGATGGGAGAGAAACCTAGCCAAATCAAGCATATTGATGTGGAAGCTATGAGGGAGGGCAGGAAAATTCTGAACGACCAAAAAAGCTTCCTTGTAAGCAATATTTCTGTACAGGAGATTGAAGAAGCACTGAAGAATATTGGCAATAACAAGTCCCCAGGCATTGATGGTTTCATTGTAAAGTTCTTCAAGAGCTGCTGGGACATTCTGAAGATGGACGTAATTACTGTAGTCAAGGATTTCTTCAGAACAGGCACTATTCTAAGTAAGTTTAATAGAACGCTTGTCACCCTGATTCCTAAAGGAGACAATGCTACTGGAATTAAGGACTATCGACCAATTTCTGGATGCACAGTTTTCCTCAAGATCATCTCGAAAATTCTTACAACAAGACTGAAGAATATTTTGCCGTCCATTGTTAACAAGAACCAGGCTGCTTTTGTTTCTGGTCAAGACATCCACAACCATATCCACTTAGCTTATGAACTTGTTAAAGGTTATGAAAGGAAGCATGGTACACCAAGGTACATGATTCAAATCGATCTTCAGAAAGCGTATGACATGGTTGACTGGGGAGCATTAGAAAAAGTAATGAAGGAACTGGGCTTCCCTAGCAGATTTGTCCTCTGGATTCTCAACCTGGTTTCCATTGTTTCTTATTCCTTTAACATCAATGGTAACATCTCTAATTTTCTGCAGGCAAAAAGAGGTATAAGACAAGGCGACCATATTTCCCCTCTCCTGTTTGTTATTATGATTGAATATCTCGATAGGTACTTGGTGAAAATGCAAAAGAATTCTGACTTTAACCACCACGCTAAATGCGAAAAGACGACTTTGACTAACCTTGCTTTTGCAGACGATATCCTCCTATTCTGCGGGGGCGATAAAGTTTCTGTTGAAATCCTTATGACAGCATTTACGAACTTTTCCCTTTCCACTGGTCTCATTTTTAATCCCAGGAAGTGCAACATTTTCTTTGGCTGTGTGGAGTTGGAAGAGAGATCCAGAATTAGTGCTAGTACTGGTTTCGTAGAAGGCAGTTTCTCGGTTCGCTATCTGGGTGTTCCTCTTAGCAGCAAAAAGCTAAGATTACAACACTACCTCCCCTTGGTTGAGAAAATTACTGGTCGTATCCTCCATTGGTCCACAAAATTTCTTAGCTATGCAAGCCGAACCCAATTAGTGAATAGCATAATTTGTTCAATCGCTCAATACTGGATGCTTAACTTCCCTCTTCCTAAAGTTGTGCTTAAAAGGATTGATACCATTTGCAGGACCTTTATCTGGACCAGAAGGAATGATGCAAGTAAAAAGAGCTATGTCGCGTGGAAGAAAATGTGTAAGCCTAGAAAGCAAGGAGGCTTAGGGATAAAAAACCTAACTGTATGGAACCAAGTTGCCTTGCTCAAATGCCTTTGGAATATCTGCAATAAGAGTGATAGCCTTTGGGTCAAATGGATACATAAGGTGTACCTGAAAAATTGTGAAGTCATGGATGCTGTTGTGGGGCAGAACTGGACGTGGACAATGAGGGAAATTATGAACCATAGAAGTCTGGTCACTTTAATCCAACAACATTGGGACCAAATGCTTCTTCAACAGAAGTTTTCCATGAAAGTTGTGTACAACTTGCTGATTGATGACTTGAGTAGGATCACTTGGAGCAACTTACTTATGTATAATTATGCAAGGCCTAAGGCAAAATTTACTGTATGGCTTTTGTGTCATGGAAATCTCCCTACTAAGGATAGACTCTTGCGCTTTGGAATTGTTCAAGAGAGTCTTTCCAGCTTGTGTGGCTTGGAGGAAGAAAATGCTAATCATATTTTCTTTGCCTACTCGAAAACTACTAGTGTTTGGAAGGCCATCTTACCATGGCTGGGGATTAACCATATTCCGCTGCACTGGTCGGAAGAATTAAAGTGGATTTTGGCTAATACAAAAGGAAAGGGCTGGCGGGCAACTGTGCTTAAAACGACGTTTACTGAAGCAATTCATGAGACTTGGATTCTTAGAAATTCTATAATTTTTTATAGTGCTACGTATAGAAACAACTCAGTAGAGAATATTATTGATTGTATAGTGTATAGATGTTGGAGAAATAGGAAGATTAGGCCAAATATTGCTAGATTAATGATTTAGCCTTTTTGTAGAATTTGCTGGCTGAATCTGTTTGAGATTGTCTTGGTTGTTTATTGCCTTTTGAATTAATATAGAGCATTTTGGTTCAAAATTAAAAAAATAAAATAAATAATAATAATAATAATAATAATAATAATAATAACAACAACAACAACAACAATAATAATAATAATAATAATAATAATAATAATAATAATAATAATAATAATAATAATAATAATAATAATAATAATAACAACAACAATAATAACAACAACAACAATAATAACAACAATAATAACAACAATAATAATAATAATAATAATAATAATAATAATAATAATAATAATAATAATAATAATAATAATAATAATAATAATAATAATAATAATAATAATAATAATAATAATAATAATAATAATAATAATAATAATAATAATAATAATAATAATAATAATAATAATAATAATAATAATAATAATAATAATAATAATAATAATAATAATAATAATAATAATAATAATAATAATAATAATAATAATAATAATAATAATAATAATAATAATAATAATAATAATAATAATAATAATAATAATAATAATAATAATAATAATATAATAATAATAATAATAATAATAATAATAATAATAATAATAATAATAATAATAATAATAATAATAATAATAATAATAATAATAATAATAATAATAATAATAATAATAATAATAATAATAATAATAATAATAATAATAATAATAATAATAATAATAATAATAATAATAATAATAATAATAATAATAATAATAATAATAATAATAATAATAATAATAATAATAATAATAATAATATAAAAAGCCTTGATGTTTATTTATAATAAAAAGACTTTACACTTTTGATTAAGAAGAAGAAAGATAAAACAGTTTATTTATTTTGAAAACAATACTTAATTAAAAAAAAACAAATATATTTTTGTACTGAAATATTATTTAATTTAACTAGTGTGCAAAGATGTTGGGTCAGAAATATTTTATTAGACAAATCCTAATTGTCAAGTTTACTATATCTCTTCCAACTAGCCGCCATTGCATAAAATAACCAAGAAACAACTTTGTAAAAAAACAAAGAAATAGGTCAACAAACCAATTTATTATTATCACTCTTGGAAAAGAAAATACAATTTATCATCCAAGATTCAAATACGTTGCTATAATATCAAGTATTTTACTAGTTTGCAGAACAACTTCAACATAATTTGTAAACAAAGCTTTATCACTACCATAATCATAATAATAATAATAATCTTTACGATCATTTCTACAATGAAGAATATTTTGCACTAGTAGAGCAGTAGATGCAGCCATATCTTTATAATCTCCTCTCTTAAAAGAAATATCGGCATCAGTCAAGTGTACAGAAGCACTAGTACCAACAGGACCCAAATCTAACAGACAAGTATCATAATGTTTTTTTCGCCTTAACAGTACTACTCTCTGGAATCAATTTATGGAGTAAGGTCAATGTATTGGTCAAATTGGCACGAACCACATCAATTGTGTATTGTGCAAGGTTAACCAAATCTACACCTTTTGCCCCGCCGGGTCTTGATTTGAGAAGTTTTGAACAGAATGATTCTTGGAATGATTCTTTACAAATGTCATTTACTTCCACAACTTTAGTTGAGTTGGAGGAAGCAACACATAGAACAAGAATCACCAACAAGAAAAAAAAGTAATGATTCATTTTGTTGTGTTATTTTTCTTCTTTCTCTCTCTCTCTTTGGAAGATGTAGTAGGTATTTATACTAAATTCATTCTAAATAATATTCCGTCCACCTCAAATATAAATAAGTTTGTATAATTCTAAATACATGTCATCTTAATAACACCACTAAAATCAATTTTAAACACATGTCATTTTATTAATTAATTTTATTTCTAATCCATTATTTGTATAAAGTAGTGTAATATCCGTGCCTTTGCACGAGTATCTGTCGTGATCCTCTTATTTTATTCAATTTTAAAAATGATTTCTTTTATAGTAATTTTTGTATATATATTAAAAAATTGGTAAAATAAAAATAGAAATATAAAAATACAAAAGTTGTATCACATTAAATAGATATTTGATTTTTAAAAAAATTATAAATATTTTATTCTAATATACCGTATTAATATGCTGGTTTGTACTGTGGGTCAAAATTATAAAATTAAGTTGTAACAGTTTATTGAGTATATAGCTGTATGCATATATTACTTTAATTATTTGTTCTTTTGAATGAAGCAAATTGTGAATAGTTTTGGTAAGAATATATATAAATATTACTTTTGTTTTAAAATAATTGTTGAAAATATTAAACCAAGTAAAGTTGTTATATTATTGTTCAATATTTTGTTCAATAACTTTATATTTTCGTTAATATTTAATAGTTTGATCAATTATTTCATGTTTCTGTTAATATTTAATATTTTAATTAGTAATTTCATGTTCCCGTTAATATTAAATAGTTTATCAATAACTTCATGTTCTCGTTAATATTTAATATTTTGATCAGTAATTTTATTTCTTGTTAATATTCAATATTTAATCAGTAACTTCATTCTCCCGTTAATATTTAATATTTTGATTAGTAACTTCGTGTTTCCGTTAATATTCAATAATTTCATCAATAATGCATATTCTCATTAATATTTAATATATAAATTAATAAATTAATGTTTCTGTTATTATTCAATATTTTGATCAGTAATTTTATTTTCTCATTAATATTCAATATTTTGATATGTAATTTCATGTTTCTGTTAATATATTTTGATCAATAACTTTTTGTTTTTGTTAATATTCAATAATTTGATCAGTAATTTCATGTTCTCGTTAATGTTCAATATTTTGATCAATAACTTTATGTTTCTGTTAATATTTAATATTTTGATCTGTAACATCATATTGTTGTTTATGTTTTAATTTAAACCATCGTGTTTGATATGTGATAATAACTATGATAATAATTATTAAAAAAAACCTAACGAGGTTGTAATGTTGGTTAAATTTCTAATTAATAAAAAAATATCTAACTTTATTGCCATTATAGTTAGTATATTTTAAATTAAATCTATTAATAATTAAATAGTATTATTCTTTATATAACATTCAGTAAAAAAAGGAACTTTATTGCCATGTTAGTTAGTATCTTTGAAATTAAATCTATTAATAATTAAATAGAATTATTCTTAATATTAATTTAATCAACAATTAGGAATCTCAACATTTTTTTTATAAATATGACCATTAATTTGTGTTTGATTATATAAAGAGTAAATAAATATAAAAGACATAACATATTTAACTAAATTTTTATATTGTTAAAATTTTAAATTTAAAAAAAAAGGATTTTTTTAAATGATTTTATTATTATTTTAAACTCTATTCTTACTATATCAATTTATTTATAAAAAATTAATTTATAAATTAATTTTGTTTATACCAATACATATAAGTACACTTTTTTTTAAACTTTACAAATTGTATTTTTTTTTTTTGGATTATGATGAAAATAAATACTATTATTTTTTCATAAGATGTAAAAAGTAAAAGATATATAAATGTAAAAGTAATATTAAATTTTCTTCTATTTTAAATTTACATTTATATATCTTTTACTTTTATAATATTTCAACTTCATAAGTAATATTTCAATTTTAAATTTTTATAATAATATATTAAAATAATTAAATTAAATTATAATAATCATAAATAATTATTTTATAGAATTTACCCGTATATCGCACGTAGATGGTAAAAACAAAGTTATTGAAATTTATAATAAAATACATTTATTTATTTTGACCAATAATGAGGAAGAATACATAAACATATAAATACATAAATATATAAATATATAAATATATAAATATATAAATATTAATAAAATATCCATGCGTATGCACAGATAAATTTATTTAATACGATATAAATTTTATTTAAATATATATATATATATATATATATATATATATATATATATATATATATATATATATATATATATATATATATATATATATATATATATATATATATATATATATATATATATATATATATATATATATATATATATATATATATATAAATTTAAAATAAGTTATTTAATTATAAAATAAATAATAATAATATAAATTTAATTTTATTAAATAATTATAAAAAAAATATTTTTAAAATAGAGAAAAGAAAAAAAATAAAATTTTAATATATGAAAATAAGAATTTTGTGTCAACAATAAAGATAATTGTTAATTAAAATAAAATAGATATTTTGCTGATAAAGCGCGTGAAAAAAAGAAATTTTAACATTTAAAAAACAATAATTTTGTGTCTCAAATAAATGAAATATTGAATTAAAATAAAATAGGTATTTTGCTGATAGTGTCCCGTGAAAAAAAAAGGGTTAATACCTATTTTCACCCCTGACATATGGGGTGTATTTGAAAAACCCCCTGCCAAAAAAAAAGTTACAATTGTTACCTTAACAAATTTTAAAAGTTTCAGTTTTTACCTTGAGGATGCCACATCACATAAAAGGCTGATGTGGCTTATATTATGTTATATTTTTATTATTATTTTAATGACATGGTTTGATTAGTTGTCATTTTTAATTAATTTTTAATTTTTAATTCCATATGGCATTAAAAATTTATTGATAATTGTAATTAATATGTTAATGATATGAATATTTATTGATGCATATATGTAACAAAGAAAATGCATTGGTCTAGTGGTATTAAAAATTAAAAATTAATTAAAAATAACAACTAATCAAGCCATGTCATTAAAATAATAATAAAAATATAACAAAATATAAGCCACATCAGCCTTTTAGGTGATGTGGCATCCTCAAGGTAAAAACTGAAATTTTTAAAATTTGTCAAGGTAACAATTAGAACTTTTTTTTGGCAGGGGGCTTTTCAAATACACCTCATATGTCAGGGGTGAAAATAGGTATTAACCCAAAAAAAAATTATGACATTTGAAAATGAAAATTGTGCCTCAAATAAAGGCAATTCAATTAAAATAAAATAAGTATGTTGCTGATACGGACATTGTCCCGTGAAAAAAAGAGAAAATTTGACATTTTATAACAAGAATTTTGTGTCTCAAATAAAATAATTGTTAATTAAAATAAAATAGGTATTTTACTCATAGTGACTCGTGAGAAATTTTTTTTTGACATTTGTAAAATAAGAATTTCGTATCTCAAATAAAAATAATTGTTAATAGAAATTAAATAGGTATTTTGTTGATAGTGACCTGTAAGCTGAAAAGTTAGTTGTGTGTATGACTATTTAGTATTATCTAATTTCATAAAAGAAAATTTTAATTTTATTAAATTTCAATAAAGATTAATTAATATTTTTAATAATAAATAAATAAATAGAATTGATTAAATTTATCGTAAAAATAAAAATAAATGCCTATATTGTATACATTTATAAATTAATAAATATTTAATATGATAATTATATACTATAATTATATATTTTAATATATTAAAAATAATTAAGAGAAAGAAATATAAAAGAAAAATAAATTTAATTTGAATGAAGAATGAGATGGAAAGTGAAAAAGTGAGAAGTGGAGAAAAAAGTGAAAATTGAAAAAGTGAGAAGTTTAGTAAAAAGTGAAAGTTGAAAAAGTGTCAAATAAGAACTTGAACTTGGTAGCATTTGGTTGAAGTAGGATAAATTAATCGAGAGATTATGTTTTTACTATTTTAACTATTTGTAAGTATAAAATATTTTAAAATGAAAGATAATATTAATAGTTTGGTGGTAGTTTATTTTAATGGATAGATAATTGTTTGCTTGAGAAAGAATATGTTTATAAAATTAATTTTTTAATAATAATTTTTAAAATAAAAATTAATAGAATTAATAAATAATATAAAAATGAAAATAATTTTTTACTAAAATTAAATTAAATTACTTCTAAGTTAAAATATTAAATGAAATAGTTTATATAGTAAATTGTGCATTGATTTCAAAGGTTTAAAGTTTATTTTTTATTAAAATATTTGTGATAACTTTTTTTAATAATATTGTTGTAATAATATTACTGTTTTGTTTTGGTACCTCTTCTATTTCTATCAGACTATTCTTATGTACTTTCAGCTTTTTTTTTACCTCTTCTACTTCAAATTAAATGTTACTAAGATGACACATTCGATAAGAAAATTTAAATTTAATAATATGACACATTCGATAATTTTTTATCTTATTCTTTATCTTACATTCGTATAAATTTTTTTATTATTGAATTGAAAACTATTACCATATAGATCACGTATACAAAGTTCACATCGATCAAAAATCATTTGAAATATTAAAGAGAATGATAAAAATTAATGATTTTCATAAAATTTTGTGAGACGTTAATTTTATGCATTTTGTTGACATGTCAAATGATTTCTGATTGATCTTAAGTTTTATAAATATTTATAAGATTATAACTTTCAATTCAACGATGAATTTTATTATAAGAATATACAATAAAGATTATCGGATGTGTCATTTAATAATATATATATATATATATATATATATATATATATATATATATATATATATATATATATATATATATATATATATATATATATATATATATATATATATATATATATATATATATATATATATATATATATAAAAGTGGAATTCAACTTAGTACACAAATCTGTTTTTTTTT